TTATTTACACTGAAGGAGTAGTTTATTTCGTGGGTTGTGAAATTTGTATTTTAAGCGAGGTCTCGGTTATGATAGATTTTTCCTTGTCAAGAGATCGAACGTAATTTTAATATAATAATTATACACTAACTATAACGTTATTAACAGTTGTGCTAGGGAATTTTTGCTTGTTTGATTTATTTCCAACATTATAATGACGAATTAATAATCGTTTTAAACGTTGTGTTTCTCAAAGTAAGCCTTAAAAGAGTCCTTAAAGTGCTAAGAACAACCATTTTACTCCTCTTTTGTAAAAAATAAACTTTATTCTATCAGGGCTGTCATAAAACTGTCAAATGTCAATTTTAAGGTTAAATTATAACCCACAAATTAACCTTCAAATCAGGCTTTTTTACTATGTTAGGGTTATAATGATTAATGCGTTAGTTTATTCTGTGTGTCTAGTGTTTATTTTTGGTCTCGTTTGGGTTTGCATTACGCATTTGTTATTGACAGATATATTGCCCTACGCAGTGTGCCTTTTTTAGGGTTTTAAAGATCTGCCGTGTTTAATTTGCAGATTTTGTGTTAGTTCATGCATATTCTTAAGGTTACTTATCAATTTTTTTTTGCGGATGGCCACCTCTCCTCTTGTTTGACCTCCTTTGTTTGTCCAGTAAAAAGCGTCCAATGACAGGTGGCACTTAACTCATTCATATCACTAAACACTTCACTCCTCATTGACCGTTACACCATTTTAGTTTGCACTCTATGAAAATTGTTTGTTTCACTATAATGGGTTTGCACTTTTTAAAAATTATTGTTGGTTTTAATCTTTAAACTTTTACGTTTTAAGAGCTTTCGCTCTGGCCTGGTGCCTTCTCAAGTGCTGGAACCTGACATGAAAGTATTAATGGTAATGAAATTGCAGATACATTTGCAAAGCAAGCAATAAAAGAGTTAAATAAATACCACAAGTTCTTCCTTACCGGGACCTTATTGCTCAATATAAAAACAATATTAAAATTGAATGGAAAAAATATCCTATTTGAATAAAAAATATTTTGAAAAATACGCTACGTCAGTTATATTTTTTTATGGAAGTAATAACATAAAATGTTTTGTTGTGTAGTCAAATTATAAATATATAAACAATGTTTAAAAAGATCTTGTCGCTCTAATATCTATATAAAAAACACTTTTTGGGATGGATGGGACACAAATATTATAGTTTTGTAACAAATTAAATTAAACATTATCGCTTTTGCTCCCAGTTTTGGCACAATTAAACAATAAACAAAACAACAAATCAAAGAATCAAATTGACACTCGCGGATTTTGTTTTTATAGCCCACTGTGAAAGTTTGGCAATATTATGTTTTATTTTTCTTGCGTGTGGTTACTTTTCCGTAAAATCACCGTAGATCAAACATTTTAGATTTTTTTGCATTTGGATTTTTTGCCTCTGTATGATATGACGATATTAGGCCTATAGCGGTGACATATTTTCTGTTCCTTTCTTAACAATATTTGTGTGAACTTTCTGTCTTTGTGTTAGAACTTTTACTCTGTATGGTAGATAATCGAGGAGTGCAAAAATAGGATAACTTAATTTTTAATTTTTTTACTTATAATTATTTCTGCAAGGACAACTCAACTACAAGCATAACCGAATCAGTTAAACCGATTAATGTCGAGCGCAACAAACATGGTAACTTCATTTTTAGTAAATAGAGCCTATGAAAATAAGTAACAAATTCAAATTAATCAAAACAGTGTTTTGGTATTTATCTTGTTTTTGCAGTTCCCCGATTTGTCGTATGTGTTTGTGAAACCTAGCTAACATCGTCAAGTACAGCCCTATCGGAAACTCTGGTTTTTTTTTAGAAGCTAGCGCGAGTAAAGGCAATAAAACTATCATATGCATTCTTCCATTGAGAAGTTACAATGTTTACAATGTTTACCGTTTAAGGTATCATTACGGTGTCATTTTTGGGGCATTCAATTTTAATTTGATTTAATTTCTTTCCAGTTGTAACAAACCAAAAAAAAAATAATTTCGCAGACCTTTGTAATTAATAATGCGCCATAAATAAGACCATAATATTTCCAATAATATAAGAGCCAGTGGCCGGCAGACTTACGGTATTTTAACAAATCGTATATTTTATTCATTTACCTGCCGTACATGATATGGGGTGGTTCCAATAGAGTCAGCTGTCAAAATTTTACCGATTTCAACGTTATAGTAACAAAGATGCCCCTTGAATATTATAAGTACTCCATTATTAATATTATTGAAAAATAATAATGGCCGACAGCGATGGGGGTTCCAAGGCCATGTCAGGCACTTTTGAAAGTCCCAAAAAAATAAACAATTTACGGTATTTTAACAAAGCTGAAATTTATGTAGGTTTTTAATAATAATATTCTTAGCATATATTCAAAATGGCAGACATTTTATCCACGTCCAACATCCTGGCCGTTACCTGGACGTTACCTACCTCTGTATGCATGAGTCAAATTCGTGAAGTGAGCATAGGGTTTTTAGCATGGTAATAAAAATCAAACTACATTTACATTAAGTACTGGGTTGCCTCATAATATTTTACAAATATTGTATTAAAAATTAAATTCGTATTTATTTCGGGTAGAAAAATTTTGCCCTTCTTAATAAAAAAAATAATAACTTACGAAAGGTTGATTAGATTTGGATAAAAATTAAATTACGTTTAAATAAATGCATTTTCTTTACAGTAAAATCATAATAAATCTGAAATATTGCATTGTTGCAATTTTTAATTAAAAAATTAAACAAGTGAATATTTAACTCTCTTCAACACACATTATCTGTTTTTTATTTCAGGAGCATAAAAAACATACCTTTGAGAAGCTAGATGTGAAAAAATAATACCTAACGTTGTGGTGCCGTGATATTAGAACCAGAGAAAATATCTTCTGTTTTTAATATATTTTTGGAATATTATTATTAACAACAATAGCTTTGTTAAAATACCGTAAATTTTACTTTTAAAAGTGTCTGCATTGGCCTTGGAACCGCTATTGCTGTCTGTCATTGTTATTTTTTAAAAGTAATAATGACGTATTTTAAAATATTCAAGGGACAGCCTTGTTACTGTAACGTTGAAGTAGGTCAAATTTTGACACCTTTCACATCTGATAGAATAAAAAAGTTTTTCCTATTGGTAACCCGATCTTAGGACATACTGTAAAAAAAATGTGGACGTGTAGGAGCTAACCCAAGTTAAGATTTAGTTTCAGCGGGTAAAAATAGATAGAAATATCCTGGTCTTATTCATGGCGTAGCCACTTATTTTTGTAAAATATTTAGATTTGAATTAAAAAAAAAATACATAAAGGTACTTCTTTATTAATTTTTGAGCACCAAATCTTATTTTAAACAAGCTAACGTTTTTATGAAAATGGTTTTTTTTTTGTAAAAACGCATAATGAAAAGGTTTTTTCTGTAGGCAAAAGACTGGAAAAAAATACAGACGTGTAGGGGCTAAATTCAGTTTTAGAGGGCAAAAATATATAGTGTTATTCATGGAGCGGACTACTTTTTTGTGGGCCTTTCCTTATTATCTTAGTTTTTATTTTTCATGACTTAGGCTGGACTGATTCTGCATTCTTTACTAAAAATGTACGTGTTTAAAATAGATATAAAAATAATAATTATGACCAAAACATACATGTAAACATTTATTTTTAACAATATGAAATACCTTATTTAATAACTACATAAAAAACATTTAACAAAGCAATCAGGTACAACTTTAGATTATTTATGATATTTTAATATGATAAAATATTTGCATGTTTAATACTTAAGTAATGTAAGCTAAAATAAGTTTTTTTAAACATGAATTATTAATTAAAGAAAAAATATAAAACTATCTAAATTTCTAAGCAATGAAAGTTTTAAACGCAACTGCGCTTTTATTTTCTTCCAGTGACGAATTTATTACGAAGCAGTGGCGTCCCGTCAGGGAAGGCAGGTGAGGCAGTGCCTCATCATAGAAAATTAAAAAATTAAGTATAATTTTAATATTTTACTTTCTATAATGTACTATAAATTTTTAATATTTGGATTACATCAACTGTGAAATAGTCAATAAAATTGATTGATTTTATACGTGGAATACGTTTAAATTATTTGAATTTGAAACGACCGCAATTTAAACTAATATTTATAGCTAGATGATGAGAGACTCACGATTGGCGTTAGCCTTGTTGTCTCGTTCTATTACAATACGATATCATAGTTGTCTCCTTCTCTCGTATTAGCATACGCGAGGCAGGCACGCCTACATCCAAGGAAATAAGCAGGTGTTGTGGCAACACTGTTGCGGAATTTTAGATAAATTATACATCACACGTTTTTCAAAATTAAATAATAAATGGTATTATTTTTCTTATAATAAATCGATTTAATCGAAATTATATTTCTATTCCAAAATAAACATATTTTAACACTATCGCCATCTTGTAGCCAATAGCCAATAGCCAGTACCAATAAAATAAATACAGATTCCTTCTTTAGGTTTGTTTTGGTTATAAAATTATGAACTGTTTAAAGAACAAATCTGTGGTTATTTAAGCAATATTTTGTTTATTCTTTTTCTATGAGTTTGTCTATTTTATGATTCTTTTGTAAGTGGTATATTCTGTTGGTTTAGTTAATTAAACTTGGTGATTTATGTGAATTTAGTCATTATGGATATTACGGTGAGAAATTGTACAGATATTGTTGACCTTCACGTGGTTCTTGCTGAACAATGAAATATTATTTACAATAAAATATATTTTATTGACAAAGTAGACGATTCCTTCCCCACCACAGTCTAAGTTTTTTTTACTTAGTTTTAAGTATAGGTTGTGAACTGCGACGTCAGTTTTTTTAAGTTGGGTTTAAAAAAATTTCTTCGCCTTTAAATGAGGGCGAAACCCTGCATCTGCCTCACCAAAATGAAAAATCACGGGCGGCCACTGTTACAAAGCAAAACATTTATAATACAATATAAAACATTTATATTAAACGACATATACACAATATTACTAAATTAATTAGGTATACTGTATATTTTAGTACAAAATAACAATAAATATTTAAGCTTTTCCCCCATACAAGCAATACTAATTATTTACAGTCATGGATAACATTATGTAATACATTAATTAAAATTAAAATATTTACATTTAATATATTTAAAATGTATTTATAAATTTATATTAATACTTCTTGATGCACAGTGGGTTAAAGAAAATTATCTCTCCCTCTGTCAACTTGAAATTCCTCAAAACTTCTAGTCTTCATTCTTAACTCCTCGATGGAGCTCTCTGTCTTAGATCTAGTGCATTTTGAGAACTCGGTGCTTAAAGGACAAATGTGAGTTGGTTTCAGTTTATGAATCTCTATGAAACTGCATTCGTTTCGAAAGCTGCCCGAGTTGCTAAGATCATCATGAACTGAAATATGGTTGTTGAGATCTTGGCGGCTCCTTCTAAGATAGTTTTGACGAGAAGCGTAGTCCAGATTGTTAAGGGCATCCTGCAGATTTTCATCCAAAATTATAATCTAAAGAAAAAAAAATAATTTTGTGTAAAATAGGTTTATAATAAAAATCCATCATTTATTAATCCTTCAAATTCCATTAAACAGGGAAAAACGTTGAGATTTTGAATGATCGATGTATTTTACTTCCGGAAGTCCAATTTAAAAAAAGGATTATAATAGGGAATAGAAAATTGTCCAGTAAATAAAAATATCTGTGTTTATAGATGCATGCAAGGATTTACTAAAAATGTATTCTTTGGTTGAACTTGCAATCTTACAAGTATAAATGGATAAGTTTCCTTTCTTACAATATATTAATTTTATCAATACATTTAATTAAAGAGGTTTACTTTAATTAAAAAATCTAAGGAATACTGTTTCCGTTTTGAGCAGTAAAGTTTTAAACATTCATATTAGCTATTTAAAAAAATCTATGCAGGGGATAGTATGCACGGCACTAGATTTACCACCCGCCCAACCGGTCCTGTACTAAATTTTATAAGAACAGTTTTAAATTTAGTAGATACCTATTGCTTTGGGAAAAGTTACTTAAAACTTAAGCAATGATTACTTTATAAATTCTAAATATATTTTGTAATATTATACCGGCTGTATAATAATCGTTACTGACCACCTTTTAATATCCCGTGCACTTAAAACCATTATAATATGCTGCATAATATGCACGATAAGAACTATAAATTTTGCACAAATAAGTCTATGTATGCTGAAATATATGCACAAAAAACATCAAGTGCTTCAAAAACATTTTTATTTCTATATTATTAGGCCGTAAAAAGTAGGTATTCATTAAAAAACATTAGAAGCAATTAGTGTGTTCAGAAAATAACGGGAATTGTTAAATTTCGCGAGTTCGGAGGTCCGGTTTTCATAAAATTTTCTTTATTATGTTGGTATACATTAGGGTGGGCCGAAAAAATTACTTTTTAATTCAATTTAGGGGTACCAAAAAAAGTTTCCTTATGCCAAAAGTAGTTTGTAAAAAAAAATTTAGCGTACTAGCCCAATTTTTAAGGGTCCCCCCTTTATATTTTAATTGGGGTAGCCACAAAAAGTTACCTTATGTTAACAATATGTTTACAAAAAAAATGTCCGATATTAGAATTTGATGTCAAAAATTTGGCGGTTTAGGGTTAAAAATGTTTATAAATTTGGAAATATTTTTTAAAATAAAAGAACTTAAAATATTTAAGTCAAGCAGCAAGCAGCAAAAGTGTGTGAAGCTTGTAACAAAAGCTGCATTAAATAAAAATTTGCTGTGAGGTAGCAAAAAATGGTTATATAGATGCGCGGACATCTTTACCGGCCTATATGACAACCATGTCTCAATATTATTTAAATAATAAAAAAACTGGGTGGGAGGGAGCGGGTGGCACTCTAGGAGCAACTATCCAATTAATTAGTAATAATAATAATAATAAAAATATTTCTATATTATTTATAAGTATGGTATTAAAATTATATTGTTTGATTTATTTATCATGTATACTGTACCAATATTTATTACAAGACTCTTTTTGGCATTTAACTGAAGTCTTTACTTCTTTTTTTAACTCAAGCATTTACTTCTTTTAAGACTTTATTTATTTCGTTAGTGGCTGTGTTAATTAATTTAGAGTAACGCAAAATCTTTTTTAAATTTAATAAAATCAAGCTAAGAGTTGCTAATTGTTTTTATCAAAAGGCGTCTTAATAAAATAATAAAAAAAACTATTAGACTGATACAGACATTTGGTTTTTCTATGCAATAATACATGGGGTAACTTTTTGTTGCCATCTCAATTAAAATATAAATAAAAAAATTTGGGCCCCCAGGGCACCCTTAAATATTGGGCTAGAATGGCTATTTTTTTTTAAACAGTAACACGAGGTTACTTTTTGTGGTTACCCTAATTAAAATATTAAACAATATATATTTTGGGCCTCCGGGGCACCCTTAAATTTTGGGCTAGTACGCTCATTTTTTTTCTAGAATTACTGTTAACATAAGGTAACTTTTTGTTTCCACCCCAGTCAAAACATACAAAAAAAATATTTTGGGCCCCCGGGGACCCTTAAATAATGGGCTAGTACGCTACATTTTTTTCTAATCAATTACTTTTAACACAAGGTAACTTTTTATTATCAGCCAAAAATAAATATCTCAAATATTTTTTTTTACGTTTTTCGGCCCACCCTAGTATACATGCCCCCGAAGTATGATAAAAACTTTAGCTGTTGTCATTGTTTACTTGGTCTGTGGCAGCCGCTAAGGTTAGACGTGTTTTATGAGCTCGGCGATTTTTCGTTCGTTAAAAGAAATGGATCAAAGAATTTGTATCCAATTTTACTTAAAAAATGAATTAAATTCTGTGAAATGTTAACAAAGGCCTATAGTGAGTCTGCTATAAGTAAAACAAGAGTTTCCAAGATGGCCGTGAAGACGTTGAAGATGACGAACGCCCCAAACGCACAAGCACATTAACAACCGATAAAAACATGGAAAAAGTGGAAGAAATGGTTATAAACGATCAGAGAAGTCGCTGATTATGTTGGTATATCGATTGGCTCATTCCATGAAATTTTTTCGAATGTTTTGGGTATGAAACGCGTGGCAGCAAAATTTGTTCTAAAATTGTTAAATTTTGAACAAAATTTTTGACCAAAAACAATACTGTAATGATGCCCCAGCCTCCATATTCGCCAGACAAGCCTCTGTCTGACTTTTTTCTATTCTCAAAAATAAAGAAACCTTAAAGGGCCATCGTTTTACAAGCATAGATGACATTAAAAGCGCATCGCTGAAAGAACTAAAGGCTATCCCAAAGATCGAGTTTTAGAAGTGTTTCGAGTATTGGAAGAAGAGCTGGCACATGTGCATAATATCCAATAGGGGACTATTTTGAAGGCGACAACATTAATGTAGACAAATAAATAAATATTTAATAAGTTTCAAAAAACTAAAATTCCCGATATTTTCTGAACACACCTCGTATGTATCAGTTTAAGATTTCACAAAGGTATTTAAAACATTTATCTACGACTGGTACTTACCCAAATTGTCAAAAACAGTACCTTCAACTTGGCATGGCCAAAATATTAATGTTTGAGGCAAAACAAATTATGTGAAGGGAAAAAAATGTTAATCAACATCTTTAAATTGAATGTAGATAGAACTAATTAATTTATTTTAATTTAGTTTATTTAAGTTCAGTAAATACTTCCAAAATGATACTATTCATTCCTAAATTCACTTGATTTTTTGGTAATTATTCCTAAATAATAGTTCTTTCCGTGTTATTTCGAAAATACTATTTGTACCAACACCTATTTTTGAAAAAAAATGATATTTTGTTGTTTAGTAGGTTTGGTTCCAGTTGTGAGAGCAATGGTATCTGCCAGATAACTAACTGCAACTTTAACCGGACACTGATAAACCGGCCATCACCAAAATATTGGGATATAAAGCTGGGTAATAAATGAAATTTTTTGTTTGCCACAGGGTGACCAATAACTTTTCTATGGTAATTTAGGTGCGCTAATTTAAAAAATAGCCATTATTTTGCTTAATTATTTTTGTGGAAAAACCGTTTTTTTACATGCATATATTATAGTATTATATAGTATTATTGTTAATGTACAGGGTGATCCCCTATAATGTCGCCCCCCTTTAACTTTTTTATTTTAAGTGGAAAATTGATCAGTGTACAGGGAAAAACAAAAAGTTTTTTTTTCAATGGATCACCCTATATCTGTATTTATTTTTCGATTCCTTGTAAAATTCTAAGCATATTTCATATAACATACCATATACCTAAACTAAATATTTAAATTATTTTTAAGCTAAAGTTGAAATCGTTTTTTTTTCTTTCTGAGTACGCCATTTTTACTTATTTAACAAGACATATTGACATAGTCTCATTATAGTAATTTATTTTCAATAAAAATTTTGGTATACTGAGGCTTCTTGATTTCTAACAGTTTAAAAAAACATTTAATGGTAACATTTCGAATGCGAATTAATATTTCAGAAACAGTTGAATTTAGGATATGGTTTGCTATATGAATTATGCTCAGAATTTTACAAGGAATCGAAAAATAAATTCATATATAGGATCCATTGAAAAAAAAATAAACTTTTTGTTTTCCCTGTTTATTGATCAATTTTTCAATTTTTTTTATACTTAGAAAAAAACTATTTTTTAGTACCTACATAACCACACTTTTAAATTTTTTTGACACTTCAAATAAAAAAGTTAAAGGGGGCGACATTATAGGGGATCACCCTGTACCTATGGATTTAATTAATCTAAAATCATGTTTTTAACGAATTAAAATCCAAAATTGAACAATATTTAAAATTTATCGTGCTGTAACACACACAATTTTATTTGATTTGAAATTTTTTATCTAATTTTAACGCAAAAATTGGAAAAATGACACTCAAAACAACCGCGCGTGTTGAAATATACATTTACAATTATCGCTCCTGGTGCTTGTACTAATTTAAAAAAAAATATGTGAACAACATTTATTACTTATCAATAGGTATATATATAATGATCTAATATTTCCTTAAAAAAATATTTTTTATGTTTTATGTTTTTTTAGTAGTGACTTTTATATATTTTTTTACATTTTGTTAAGCATTGTCATTGCTTTTTTAAATTGAAACTTAAAAACCTTTTATGTTAAAGTTAATGCGCCCAAAGTCACAGGACCAAACTAAGGGATCGATTTCTTGATTAAATCGAAGATAAAATATATTTTGTAATTTTTTCAAAATTTCAGGAGTTATTTAATTTTTAAGTCCGCCAATGGGAGCGCAGTGTTTCTGCTCTGCCTTTTGACTCACCGATTTTTATGTTTACTTTTTCTTAATAATAGTAGGTATCACAAAAAATATAATACAGAAGAAAAATTATTTTTAAAATTTTAAGAGGGATTTACCTTCACCCTTTTGGGACACCCCGTATAAGATGGAATTGCAATAAATAAGTTAATATCACAGAAATGGTTCA